GCCCCCAAGGCTCCGCTTTCTTATGGCGAAAGCCGGAGCTCTCTAGCTGGCTTCTATCAAAAGTTATTAAAAAAACAACGGAGTCCATTCTATTTTGGTACAGACAGTAGTCATACTAGTGCCATTGTTAATACTGGACTGCAAGGAAGTTTAATTATTTTACTAATGGATTCCGTTTGTATGCGTTATGTTCATCAAGAGAGCCTTATTATATCAGAATACCAGAATCGTATTGTTAACTCAAATTTGGAGAGAAGTTTTTTTCGGTCTGATCGAAAATGTGCTGTGTAAAGAGCACGAGTTTAATGTAACTGAATTTGTCGGTTAGTTTTCTAATAGCTAATCCTGTTTCAGAATATGACGTTACATGCCCCCTTTCTACCTAAAGTTAGAGATTTAACATTTGTTTGTCACTACTGTTTCTATTAAAGATGTTTAAAAACACAACCACCGAAGATGGCAGAAGGCGTGCTTAACTTTTTCTCGCAGAAACGTTCATGCTCATAACTATCACTCTCAGAAGATAAAGCAGGCAACGAATGACACGCAGCTACGGTAATGAAAGGTTTCTTCCTTTGGCTACGATAGCTGTCACGTGTTTCTTCTTATTTCGTCTACTAATATATGTTCATACACACATATAAGTGTATTGTACGCCTAGTTTTTATCATTGTCATTATCAATATTCAATCGCCTTCGTTTTGGAGGTGATGGCGATTATAATTCACTGATTATTTCTTGTATATGATTTATACACAGGTAACAGGAAAATGAACAATTACAGTTAAACATTTTTTGTTGGTTAATATAATTTTTTACTTTCACATTAACATGTTTTCATCAAATCGAATTAGTTTCAAAGGAGTGTTGGTGTGCCAGGCAAGCCTCAACACCCGGAATGATGATGTTCTCTTGGCATCTTCAGAAACTCTGGCTTCACGAGTGTTATATGTTTTGAAAGGTACAGGAAGTTGTGATTCACTTATAGAAAAGATAGGGGTGTTATCTGCACGAATGAATAGTTGGAAAATTCCCCGTTAAACACAAAGCACCTACTGATATGTTGTCGACGCATGGGAAAAGAAATATGAGTTCAATGTATATGTACATCGAAAAGAACGAAATAAAATAGACGGTCGGCGTGGAAAGTGATTAGATCAAGAGTATATCCCATTCCTAATCTCTCTTTTTCTCTCTCTGATGAAATAAGAAGAAACACGGGACTACTATCGCAGTCAAAGGAGAAAACCTTTTATTACGGGAGCTGCGCGTTATTCGTTTTATCCGTCACCTCAAGAAAAAGTAGATGACATAATAGCTATTCTGGATACCTGGCAGATAAAAAGTATTGCTCCGTTCTCAGAGCCTCTACGAACGACTAGCCAGAAATGCCCCAACGACGTCTCAATAGATCGAGCGCTGAAGAAGCACTGCGACCTGCTGACCATTCCCCGGACAGACAGAGAGGACGAGAATATTCGACTGATATATTTGACTAGACAGAAATATGTGACGAGCTGAAAACCCAGCTATCAAATGTGTTTCTAAATATGCTTTTCCTCCTTTGGATATTTTCATATAAACATTTCATACTCAAAGTAGGAAGTCGTTGGAAAAAAGAGAAGAACAAAAAGAATGGATACTTTGTTACTATAGCTCGTCGAAACATCCACGTGAATAAGAAAGAAAGGTCGTATTTTTAAGTACGGACATTCTCAAGGTCTACTTTGTCAGGTAATATCCACATTTCAATAATCAGTAGTGTTTCTCGCTTCATTTTATTCGGAGAAAGTTAGACGAATATTATAACAACACTGAGCCACTTCAAAGGTTTCACTTTTTAGCTTTTAGTACTCATTGTTTACTATTTGGTGTTTAGCTTCTACTGTCTGGTATACATTTGACTTGACAGAAGGACGTGATGAACTGAAAACCCAGCTTCCAAAACTAGGAGCCCGACTGAATCTTAAACCTTCACACACTCTCTGAAATTTTCGACATTGCATTGAGGGCACACCTGACCATGGATCACCCCCATCCGACGTTCCTATTGTTGAACGTCGGACGGTTGCCTTGTGGCAGACAAATTCAGCATTAACTGAGTGTATGATTTTGATAAAGATACCTGAGATTGAAGCCAATGAGAAAGAAATTTGTTATGTTCATCGGAAGTTACTGTCTCCAGCTAATCTTCTATTCCTTGTGCAATTGACATCATCCTTTCTAATCGTTCAAAAAGGAACGAACAAAAAACCAATAAAAAAATCCATTTGTTAGTGAAAAGTATCGAAAAGTATTTTCTTCCGTGAATCAGTTAGCTTCCCGCTTCAGTTCGCTCCGCATTTCACCACGATTTCGTTTTCACCCCAAGTCAAAAACTACGCTGTCAACCCAGATATTTCTCAGCGCCATGTATTGAACAAAAGTCCAGCAGTCGTCGAACCTAATCGAACCGCAGCACTTCGACGCCTCCCTCCTAGATCGAGGTCATGCGCCGCAAATTCAGACCCGTTTCAACGAAGAATATCATGCCCTTGATATCCCTCGTCCTGTGGTTGACAGTTTCGCCAGTGGGGTAGCATTCGAATCAAAAGCAGCAAATTTGTAATCAGCGAACTGATCCGGCGTCATGACAAAAATGCATCTGTGTCCTTTTCATTTTTCTAGCCTGCATTTTTTCCTCCACGGGAAGAAAAGTATCTCCCTTCTAGATATTTCTAAACATAACCCTCTCCTAGATATTTACAGTTTGTGCAGGTTCGGGGATATTTTCATATAAACATTTCATACTCAAAGTAGGAAGTCATTGGAAAAAAGAGAAAAACAAAAATAATTGATACTGTGTACTATAGCTCGTCGAAACACCCACGTGAATAAGAAAAAAAGTCCGTACTTTAAGTACATTGTCATGGTCTACTACACTCAAAAGATGTATAAATCTTTTAGATATTGACGTGAAAAAGGCAGTTAAATAAGGAGAAGGCATACGCAGTGGTAAAGCTTCTATTTTCTCTCTTACTATGGTAAGGCAGGTAAGTTAGAGAGTGATGCATTACTTATTATATCCGCAGAGAAACCTCAGTTTCACACTGTATTCAATTTTACCAGCAACAGTAATATGTATACGCCGCAAGTACCCATCGCTGCAGTTCCAGTGCCCGGGGGCAGGTAAGATTAGTGGCGGAGTCAGGATTTCGATCCTAGGGGAGCTCCCCCCTAATTTTTCAAAGTTGTGGCTTCTGTACACACCACTATTGTAAATACGTGTGACGACAGATCTGTCAACTGAGTTGGCATGATACATAACGTTCGCTTTTTCTTGTTTAAGAAATGCTATATGGCCTTTACTTGCTATATGCTGTTTGGCCTTGGTTGGTCTCCTGGCAGCAGCTGTAATTGTTCTAGCCCTCATACCAGTTTACTTAACAAAAACAGGTGAAAATAGTGATTTAAAATCACGAGGTAAGCTTCGAGTAATCTGAAATAAATACTCATTTCTATGTTCACCTTTATGTTAAGAATCACCAACGATTGTTATTGTATACAGTACACCGGCTGATAGCAATTCTGTATTCACCGGAACGTTTCCATCGACAAACAATGCAGCTGTTGCTAGACAGGTAAAAGACTACAATCTCAAAAATGTGCCTGCTCGTAATTTACGAGCTGTATTATTCTGATGTATTTTAATAGTTCTAGAATAATTTTACTTACAGTGCTGTGTTTTAGTTAGAACAACAATTAGGATTAACTAATGGTTCCCTTACGATTAAAAGTATCTCCAGTGTTGGCAGTTCAGATCAACGAAAGCGCTTGTAAGTAAATATTTGTTATATAGAGTGTATCCATCAGGGCTCCGCGTGGGATGGGACTATCCCATCCCATCAGTCCCATGGGACGGTTTTCAAAAAAAAACGTCCCATGGGATGGGATGGGACGAAAATTTTGAGAATCATCCCAATCCATGGGATGAAAAAGTTTTCGAAAAGTATCCCATCCCATAGGATGAAAAATTTTCTTGAAATATCTAATTGTATTGTATGGAATAACGTCTTCTACAAAATTAATTTTTTTATTAAGTGTTATATAACCAACTTGACATAGATGTCTTCCTCTCTTATCAGAACAAAAGAAGTGAGAAATTATATTCTTTCCTGTTCTGTAAGTGGTTAAATAGTGCGACCATTAGGAAACGATAAAACAAATGATAAAGAATCAACATATAAAGAAAGAACGCAAATCCATTGTATATGTATAACAGCCGCGAGCGATTTCATTTGATTTCTCTTTACAATCAATACTATGTCTTTGAATAATTCATCTATTGTGGAAAGTGAATCTGATCCATCTGATGTGATAAGCCTGACCACTGCCTCATGCCCGACCACAGTTTAGTGGGGCCGGTATTGTAATCAATGAGCGACGTACCGTACTGAATCCGAATCAAGTCGATAATATTCTATTCTATTCATACGTTTTATGGAAAAAATGAAACTCGCGCGTTAATCGATTTCTTTTGATTGCACATGTCGCTCTTTCAATAGTTGCGTGTTCGAATAATTTTCATTGAGTAATTTGGTCTTTCGTCGTATTTTTCTTATTTCGTATTCATAGAGCACAGATATTTTTTCATTGTGAAAGGAAAAAAAGATTGTAAGCTAAGCTTTATGATAATAAAATTGCGAAGTACAAGCATGAAATAATCTAAGTTTCGATCTATTTATCAAGCCGAGAGACAATTTAATAAACTCTTCTTGTGTTAAAATATATGTGACTAACGTGAAACTTCATTGATGGCATGGGGCATGAAGTTTTCAAAATTATCCCATCCCATGGGATGGGATAGAAATTTTTTTCGTTCCACGGGATGGGACTATCTTAAAAATTTTCTATCTCATCCCATGGGACAGAAAATTTTAAGGCATAGTCTCCGATGGGATAAAAAAATGTTGAGGTATGTCCCATCCCATGAGACACCTTGACCTACTTCATCCCATGGGACGATTTTTTTCGTCCCACGCGGAGCCCTGGTATCGATGTCCTATTTCTTTTTTTGTTTTAGTTTACTCTCCAAAAGACAAAATACTTTGAGAAATCGATTGAGCATGGAATGCGTACAAAATTATCCTGCAACATGTACATCTTTTAGTTGTCGCAAGAGATTGAGCCAAAATTTCCAACAAGTAGTGACGACAGTAATTCAGATATCAATCACATTAGTACTACCTAACGGTGTAACAATAAGATTTACCTTAACATTTCTAACAATTACATATACAGGTAAAATCAACCATTATTTCAGTCAAGTTCTTTCATTAATGATTAGTGTATTTTGTGTCAGGAAATCCTTCTATTGGTCCCGAAGGAAGAAAGGTGGGTACTGTTGGACCGGAAACTGGATCAGGCGGCAGTGCGACGGGTTCGTAAATTTTATAATTGGGATGACATCAACTTTTTGTAAAGCTGTCTTAAAGACTTAGTTGCAGCAACTTCTACAGAGTATTAAAAGAGCCTGTAACAGAAACTTGATATCCTTGAGTGTTCTCATAAACTAAAAATGCTTTTGGAGAATGACAAAAAAATCAGATTTGCAGATAATGTCAAATTCAAAGCTCATACCATCAATCTGATAGAGCTGAAGTTGTTCAAAACGATACTTCGCCAATGTTATACGTGACCAGTCAAAGTGCATATAGCTTTGCACATTTTTGTCTGATTACGAAGCTCGTCGACCAGACCGTTGAATTCTTCAAAAATCGTCTGTATTTATAACTTAATTCTAGCTGCTTCATCAGCGCCGAGACAATCAGCTCAAACCAATGTTACATCTATTAATTGATTATTCAAATTTTATGTATCTCACACAGAACATCGGGGTAAGCCACGTTATTATGAAATTATATTGCTAACAGAGAAAATGAACACACCCTACTACTCCAGGCTCTGTGACCAACGCGGAGATAGTTTTAGATCCTACCAGAATAAGTGAGTTACTTTGCCGCTTGTTGGTCTAAAGCATAGTCAGTAACAACAGAATGGACTTAAAAATATTTTGAATAAGGTTTAACAGAAAAGTGGTACGATCCCGAGCCTTTCCGCAACAGACAGTAGAGCGCACCTCTTCCTAAAACCATTGACATAATGTCTTTCTCTCAAGCACTAACTTCGAGAGACTCAAATCCTAACGTGATTCAACCAGCCCAGCATCTGCTAAACGACTCTCTTATAAATACAAGCCAAGCGAGCATCACAAAAACATCATTAGTTCAAAACACTTCAAAAGAACACGCACCACCGTTGCTGCTCAACTGTTAACCACTTCTTTCTGCAGCAGATCTTTTCATATGAATTTGTTGTTATTTTGCAGGTCAGTCAGGAGCAACTTCAGGTAACTAAATTTTTTCTAATAGAATAAATCATACATCATTCCATCCAAGCATTGGCATCGAACATCCTCCAATTCATTCACACGAAATGTCGTTCTTTACACCACCTAAATGTTGCATGTACATACTTTTGCTAGAGTAGCAGACACATCTGAGAACTGAGTCAGGAACAGCACGTAGTGGGAAGGCACATCTGCAAGGAATTTCATAAGTCGGTTATCTTTCCACAAAACAATCAAACGATCAATTCCATCAAAAATGAAAAGCCGCATCTCGATATGTCAGATCACTTTTCAAAAGCTAATTCGCTCTCTCCAACTTTTATCCCCATATTTAAGATTATTATCGTCGAATATACCATAATACATTAGACAGACATATCAAAAAAAACATTCCTGAACTAAATTAGGAAGGAAGCGAGCAAAAAAGCGAGAGGAATGTACAAAATCACAAATTCTAGAATGTGATAACACTAACATGCATCCGACTGACCTGAAACCGCAACTGTTCCCCAAACACACCTACCGTGCCAAACACGACATCATGGCTCGCCTTTTCCAGGTCAACCAGGCTCAAAAGCAAACTACGACCGTCTCACGTAACTAAATTTCTTCCATTGTACATCTCCTGTATGCACGGTTTGTGGCGACATCTGTGTGAATTGAGTTTTTCAGCTGTGGTTCAAGCGACAGGATTATCGAAAATTCGATTCTGCGCAAGATAAAATATTTCAGTAATATAACGATAAATTTATGGAAGCACGCCGCCGCATGATTTTCTTTTGTTCGTAGCAATGGAACGAAATG